CTGAGCCGGCCCGGCTAAAGTAACTGGATGGCCTACCTGCCTGTCAGCCTTCCATCTGTGCACAAACTTATCTCGTGCCCTCATTGGTCATGTGCGCGTACGTGTGTGTTGGAGGAGGGGCTTTGTAAGGAAGGGGCAGATTTTCTCCGGCTGTGTATTTTCAAATTCTAGCGCACTGGACTTGGTTTCTCCAAAATTACCTACCCCACCTTTAAGATAGGATGGAAAGATCTTAACCAATCCTACATTTTGCAAAGTCGTTCATATTCCACGAGGGTTAAATCCCACTGACTCCTGAGATTTCTTTACTTTCCATTTGTGCCACCAGCAGGTTGTCAGAGGGATAAATCTTGACATCCAAAAGATCGATTGCCATGAAATGTGTCAAAGACAGTCAGGGTCCCAAGAGGATCAATTTAACTGACTTTGGGGACCCATTGACCCATCAAGGTTTTTACTTATGCAGTGAATGATCTGATCATCTACTTGATGAATTTGCTCAAATTATACACACATTCATATTTCACAGACAATTTAATTTTACGACTTTGGTGACTTTTCATTTAACGCCATTGTCAGGTCAAAGCTTTTATTTTCGTATAGGAAATATCAGCTTGTTACTATGCTGATGTTAGCATTTAACTCACAGCCTCACAGAGCCACTAGCATGACTGAAGACTCAAGAGTCAAAGGCGCATGCGTTGCTATCTACTTTTCTGTTATAGCATCTCTACCAAGAATGCAACAATTGCGTCAGCGTCATTGTTTCATATATTGCAATATAGCAAAAGAATGGAGGTGAGAGGGATTGTGGCTCGACAGACGGAGCGGGAGTGATGAATAATGGATAAGAGATGGAGGGCGAGGAAAGGTCTCACAGAGGAGAAGCTATTGGCACGGCAGAGCTGGAGGGATCAATGCACAGAAGTGAAAAAGAATCAGACAGAGATGGAAAAATGTGTGGTGTGCCATGACATCTCGGAGCCTGGGGTGATGGATAGATTTCAGGCAGAGTTGGAGACTTTTTTTTATTATTTTTTTTCCCCAGGAAACTTCAATAACGTGCTGCTAATCTAACACACAACACCGGTGGGAATCTCCAGATATTTTGGGAAGGTGGTGCTTCGCAAATTCTTTGAAGTTATCTGATGGTGAGAAGATTGAATGTGGCTCGGTGTAATGGTGAAGCCCCACAGCCGAAGTGCCATCACCGCCTCTCGCTCTGATCTGCAACATCAAACATCCCAAAGGGGGCTTCGCTTCTCAGAGACAAGATCAAACATGTGAGGGGGGGGGGTGAAAGAGACGGTGACCATTTGCTGCCCCAACGAGACTCTCATTTACGAATTGCACGTATGTTACATCATGCCATCATTTCATAGTGTTACCGCCAATCTTTGATCACAATCAGAAAATGTGATCCTGCATAAAACGGCAGAAAAAAGACTTTCACAAGATAATACGCCACTTTCCTGAAAGGACACTTAGTCAGTTTTATGACACCCCAAAAGTAAGATAGAAATGGCAGGTCATTTTCTGAAAATGAGCTGTAATAGCTAGTCATCAGGAGTCCATTATGGAGCATGAAACCAATCCCTTATAACGCAAGAGGCTTCTTAAGGACGGGAGAGGGGAGAAAAGAAAAAGGAAACAACCCTCGTCTCAGTCTGCAGAGCTTCAACATCCATCTGTTCTCATGGCGGCAGAACATTTCCTTGTCTCCTTCAAACTCACTCCGGCCACAAATCACAAGGGGAATGATGTGTCAAAGTGTGGAGGTGATTGGACGGCTGGTGGTGGGCATAGCGAGGTGCTGAACCTCCACTCGTTTCAGTGCGAGACTCACGACTCCTCTAGGGTTCAGCCATCCATCAGAGCAATCACCAGTCGGTCTGTTGAGCCGTCAGACAGAGCTGATAGGCCTGGGGTTGAGGAAGGAGTACATTGTGGGAGTTTGGGAGCGCCGGCAGAAAAGGGGACCATTAACATCAGCAGAGCGGCAATAAAGTTTCAACATAAGAGCCTTTGGTCAATGTTAAAACATTTCTGCTTGAGGAATATGACTCCATAAGCGAATGCAATGACCTTGTTTGTGACCATCAACACCAAAACCACCGAAAGCTTTGAGTTGGATATTTTTTTAAAGGTTCTTAAACCTACTCTGAGGAGGTATTGATCTCAGTTTACTGACAGACCACGTGGGATCATTGGGACACGGGAGGGCAACAGTTTTCCACTGATTTTTCATGCAGTGTGAAAAATGTGGATGTCAGACAGAAGACTTTCAGGAAAATATTGATTCCGCCTCTTATTTTTAGCCTTAGTGAATAAACTGATTTATTGGGGGAAGTTGAAACGCATTACCAACATATCATCACCCTGGTGTAGGGGGGAAATAGGGAAGGGAACACTGTCTGGTGTGATCCTATTGCAAGATGTTCTGTAGTTTTCACATTGTTATTATAATTATTCAATGTCAGACTTGTACTGGGAGACTTGTACTCGGTTTTAGGACATGTACTTAGGTAAATTATCTGAATACTTCCTTCACCACTGGCAGAAACATGTTCAGTATAAGAAAGTTACTGATGTGTTTGTTATCTACAGGCAAACAAAAAGCAGAATTCCCCTCCTTAACGTGCACCAAATAGGCAATAGATCTGGAAATTACAGAAAGATAAACAGAAAAGTACCCCATTCATTTGAGTGATGAATAAAAATATGAAGCACATTAGCTGTTAATTTCCCCAAACATATTGTGCAATCAACATTTCACCTCCATCAGGCTCTATCTGGGCATGAAGAGAATACAATTTCCCACAAAGACTTACGCTCCAGCTCAGTAAATAACAGAACCACCCTGTAGTTCAATCCAAAACACTAATCGCAATGGGTATTATTGGCATAATGAGAGGCTGAACCTGAAGAAAATGGCTGATGAAAAACTATATCTGGTAGCTATATTCGAGAGCCTCCTGGGCAATGGGTAAAAAAAACTGAAAATTACATTTGCAATGCAAAAGGGCGACCTCCCCGGCACCTGATTCCCGCCACCACGGTCCAGCGAGCAGTTAAAATCCAATTTCAATTAGGGCGTTTGAGAACATATTTACTGAGTCTTTCTCTCACTCTTCCTCCTACTCTTTTAGTGTTGTTCTCCAGGGGCAGGAGACAGGAGTGGAAACAAAGAGCCACTCTCCAGATTGAGAGTGGGGGTCCAGACACACATTACTTAATTCTTGTTATATTCCCAGCAAAGGTCTCGCCTCAAAAGTCATCTAAGTACGAGATAACAAACTATTATTTTCCCGGAGGAGGAGGTCGAACTCTCTGCTGCCGGTAAAACCGTCACGCACAACTTCCCTCTCCAAATTTCCCTCGCAGGAGCTCCGACTGCCACAAGAACTGTGCGAGAGAATTAATTCAATTTGTAGATGTTATTGAATATATAGTAGGCTTATGACTGTATGATTAATTTAATTCATGAGCTATTTACACAAGTCTCCTGGGGGTTTACTCATCACAAAGGCACTTATTTGTTTTCTTTCTAGTTGACTTGCAAGTAAAAAAGCTGCATTGGAAGGAAGCTTTTTCTACGGAGAAGTAAAAATGTATTTGCAGCCAGTTGCATTATATTTCTAAGTTATGACATACAAACTGCAGCTGGCCCCCTTTAGCAGAGGAAAGAAAGAAACGCCTCCCTAGTAACTTTGCATAGATACGAGTCAGTATAGTCAAGGTCAGACATTTTAGGGGACAAAAACATTTTTAAAAACGACATTTTAAAGAGATTGTCACTGCATTTCAAAACTGGATTTTATTTTCCTGCAGACTCAATTCAAGATTAATATGACTAGACAAGAGGGACTTTTTGTTTCACCGAACAATGTATCAGTTTCATTGAATGTTTTCTATGAAAAAGTATCTGTAAAATATGCAAAACAGCTGATAACTTTATCTCAGGAAAGTGTAGCGAAGTAAAAAAAAAGGGAAAAAATCCCAATAATTGAAGTCGCTCAGAGGCTCATCCCTTTACTCGTTCCTTAACAAAAATCAAAGTTTAAAGTTTAAAAATGTTTAATGAACAAAATAAAACAAACTATATAATCAAGCAGGGCCATATGGTCAACAGAGAATGTCT